TGTATAATTACATCAAGTAGCATTTGTTAAAATTAACTCACTCACTGTATAATTACATCAAGTAGCATTTGTTAAAATTAACTCACTCACTGTATAATTACATCAAGTAGCATTTGTTAAAATTAACTCACTCACTGCCATGCCCGAACCCTGTCGGGAGATCCGCGCAGTACGCTGCCTGCCAAATCCGAAACCCGTCGGGTGCGTTTTTACTACTATTTTTCAAAGATTCCCCGACTGGTTTCGGGCTTGGCAGTCAGAAGTAGGCGACATTTATAAAGCCCGTTTAGTTTCCGTTCCGCTTTGTTGTAGTAATTTCCCTTGAATAAGCTACTTAAAAATCAGACTTTTTCGAACTCACCCGAAACGAACTAAAAACAACTAACGCTCAGTTACGATGGCGACAGCGTCTCAACGAGGTCCGAACATTTGAATTGATGGACCCATTCGTCAATAAAGGGTCAGATGTAGATCTTCATACAGAGTTGATAATGAGTATAGGGAAGGAAATAGGAGAGGTGCAGACACAAGTGAAGATGAAAATTGTGCTAGATTTATATTTCTATGCCTAGATCTAGAATCAGGTGTTCCCCATGCTCAGACCAATGATCCGATGCTTCCCGGTCCCAGTTCAGGCCCGTCACGTAAACGTGTGCGTGCGTGTGTCTGTATATGTGTGTGCGTGTGTGTATATGTGTGTGTGTGTGTGCGTGTGTGTATATGTATGTGTGTATGTGTGTGTGTGTGCGTGTGTGCTAGAGAGTTTCCACTGTACAGTGTAAAGTGCATTGAGCTTGCCGCTGATCAGGAGTTCGCCCTCTACTAAAGCTACATATCCTCACTGCTCTAGCAAAATGACACATCTCATTTTAGCCACTTTTGAGATGAAAGGTAAAACTCACCATGCACGTTTCTTCTGTGACTGCCACAGCATTTTTGTCGTGACTTTACCAAAATATATACAGTGGAACTCGGATTCAACGAGGTCGCCGGCCTGACCTAAAATCTCGTTGAATCCAAGTGTTCGTTATAGCAAACATGAGGTTTTGTGTAGATAATTACAGGCACTGAGCAAGTAATGTATAAAGAAAAATCACAAATAGGGCCTGAAATGCCCGCATATTATGAGCTGTGTAAAAAAAAAAAAGACTGGTTCGTTCAAATGCATTCCTGTGTCATCTCGATTGTTTACCACAAAGTTGTGTTGCTGTGTAGATCCTAGAATAACGGCAACTTTTGATTTCATAGACAAGCGCACAATTCATTACG